AGGGATATTTATGTCATTTACCTGAATTAGTTATAGTTAGTTTTGTTGTTGCCGAGCTGTTAGTTTACAGCTGTAAATGAGCTTGTATATATGTACTGATAATCATTACAAGAAATTAATTAGAAATCATTTTCTCAATTCACATTTCACTCGTGTTCTCTCTTTCATATCTCTCTCTATTCTTGGCCTTTTACCTGCAGATTTTCGGCAGATTCTACATGGTATCAGAGCAATTAAAAGCTTCAGTTCATGGCTGATAATTTAGAAGGTGAAGATCTGGTAACTGCTGCTCTACAAGGCGAAAATCTGGTAGCTGCTGCTCAACAAATGATGTCAAATCCTTCGAGCCCGTACTACATGCACTATGGTGACAACACAGGAATGCAGGTTGTGTCTGTTATTCTATCTGATGAAAATTACTCCACATGGAGCCATGCTGTGGAGATGGCTCTCAGTGTGAAGAATAAAGAAGGTTTTATTGATGGATCTATAACTGAACCTTCTGCCAATTCACCTCTTCATTCTGCCTGGCGTAGGTGTAATCATATAGTTTCATCTTGGATTATAAATTCTATTCCAAAGGAGTTGTATCCTAGTGTGATGCACAAGGAATCAGTACGACAGATCTGGTTGGAGTTGAAGGATAGATATAGTTAAGGCAATGGACCAAGGATCTATCAGTTAAAGAAGATGATTGTTTCAATTTCACAAGAAAATGGTTCGGTGAGTGCCTATTTCAATAAATTGAAAGGCCTATGGGAAGAGTTGCCGAACTATAGACCTCAAAATCACAATTCCTATTATGAAGAGGAACAGATTTTGCAGTTTCTGATGGGATTAGATGACTGCTATGGTAATGTGCGTAGCCAAATCTTGATGATGGATCCGTTACCTTCACTGAATAAGGTTTTCGCATTAGTTCAACATGATGAGAAGCAGAAAGACATTGCATCTAAAAATCAGAATAATGCTGAAGCAGCTGCATTTGTGAGCAAACTGATGGTTGGATCAATGAACTCTGGTGGTGGTCAGAGACAAATATATCAAAATCCAAATTCTGGTAATCTGAATCCTGGTAATGTGAATTCTGGTAATGGTCAGAGGTACAATTATCAAAATCAGAGGAGAGAAATACCTAAATGTAGTTATTGTGGAATTCTTGGACACGTGCAAAGTAAATGTTACAAATTGCACGACTATCCTCCAAGACACAGATTAGCCAAGAGCAAATGCAGAGGTTTCACTCCCAGTGCTAATCAAGTGATTGCTTCACCAGACATATCTAATGCCACCTCAAGTCTTACCATCACATCGGAACAATGTCGCAAGTTTTGAACATTCTAAAACCACGATTACATACTCAATTTTCAAATATGAATCTTAATTCACCACAAGTGCCAAATATGCCAGATACTTCAGCTTTCTCAGGTAATAGTAATTTCTACTTAAGTGTTTCGAACATAGAGGAGAAATGGATAATTGATACAGGAGCTACTGATCACATGGTGTGTTCTATTAAACATTTATCCTCTGTTACTGCTGTGGTTAATACTAAGGGCAGGCTACCTAATGGTGATTGTGCAGTTGTGATTCACATAGGAACTGTAAAATTGTCTAATACACTATTCTTATCCAATGTTTTGTGTATTCCCTCTTTCAAATGTAACCTGTCTCTGTCAGCAAATTGATCCATTCTCACCATTGTTGCCTAATTTTTCTTTCCAATTACTGCCTTATTCAGGACCTTTCTACATGGACAATGATTGGAGTGGGGAAGCTTGAGGCTAGCTTGTACCACTTCCAGCATAATGATTCTTCAGAAAACAATCTTTTATTCAACCCTTGTTCTGCATCTTCCATGTCTTGTTTGAATTTTCCTGTGCTTATACATAGTGATTGTAATAAACTCGTGACTAATACTCCTGTACTTGGTTTTACTGCTATTGCTAGATTGCTAGTTGACTTGTGGCATTTTAGACTTGGGCATGTCGCTCATTCTAGAATTTCATTCTTGCATAAATCTGTACCTGAAATTGTCTCAAATTCTGAATTTCATTGTAGTATTTGTCCTTTGGCTAAACAACATCGTTTGCCCTTTCAAGTCAGATCTTATGTTTCTAAATTTGTTTTTGAACTTATTCATTGCGATATTTGGGGTCCATATCAAACACCCTCACTTGATGGGTCAAAATATTTTTTAACTATAGTCGATAATTATAGTAGGTGCACTTGGACATT